AGCAGAGATGGGCCAGCTGCAAAGGTACTTCCGCAAAATGCTAGCTTCTCTAGGCCGCGTTCATAGTTCGCGACTCCGGAGATTAGGATAGTACGCGACAATGAAAAACATATGTATTGACGGGGAGATTAGGATAGTAGTAGAGTAGTAGATTAGCGCTGACAAGATTAGATCCTCCCTATATCCTAGTCAAATAGATACGTATCGATTGGAATCGCTGGAGAGTAGTAGATTACGATATTAGGATAGTAGTAGTAGATTAGGATAGTGCGCTGACAAGATTAGATATGTATTGATCTATTCGCTTGAAGTCGCCCAATCTACTACTCTCCAGCGATTTCAATCGATACGTATCCAATCTTGTCAGCGCAATCTCCTACTCTACTACTATCCTAATATCCTGTCGCCTACTATCCTAATCTCCCGAGTCGCGAACTATAAACGCAGCCTCAATGGTATCAGTTTTGTCCGATAGGATAGTACTATAATAGGAGATCGACGGGCCTCGTAATTCATCGTATTTACAGATGAAACCCATCGAACGCTATCAAATCGGGTGTGGAAGAGGGATGCATGGCTTATTCTAAAAAAAACTGTTATCATCCTTGAGCGCATCTACCTGATTTCGCTGTCTTACTCAACCACCTAACTCTTGTCCATACAGACACTTTTGATCACTGGTGGTGCCAACGCTGCCTTAGGTGCTGACAGCAGCGTTTAGTTGCTTACTCGTCACATTTTCCTAGGTTTCCATCAGCTTCCTTGAATTCGTAAGAGGACGTCAACCTGCTCCCACTTCTTATCACCTACTCCTCATGCAATTCTCAGTCTATTCCTTCGCTCATAGACATGTCAATCAATTCATCAATTCTTTCAGAAAGGGCACCCCAAAGAATTTTTATTAGTTGCTATTGCCGTGCTCCAGCATTTAGCACTCTTTTACAATGATTGCAGCAGTTGAATGACTATTTGGCTGTTATGATGATCTAAGGAAAGGCTTTACTGAGATAGAGAGCCCAGCGGACTTGATGAAGGTCCGGTCGGCGCTATCTCAAGATACGGGGGCACTTGGTGACTGTTCACTCGAAAACGCAGAATATCTCCTTTTTGTTAAAAACGTGATTATGTCATGGTCTGGAAAGAGTCTTAGTCCGGAGCTCCAAGGTGCGTGAGCAATTTTCATTTACCCCGCACTTCCTGTCTCTTCTGTACTTCGTCTTATTGTTAGAGAATGCCCCATAACTTGCAATAGCCCCATCCGTTACAGAGGTTGGGTGGCTATACTCATTTCACACTCACTCTCCATCCCCCTTTTTTATGTGTTCCAGTACGCACGTTCCAGTACCACAAATATATGACAGTTGGGTCAAAACTAGGCGCTCCACAGGAGGAAGCCGTTGTTCCCTTCATTCGCAGTTCTTGCTTAGCTTTAAGCGAGATTATGACGAAAAAACATTGAGGAGCAAGAGAGTAGACGATGAAGAACTAGAGGGCACAGGGGTAAGCGAGAGGCGAACTCCGTCTGCGACCTCATATTCCTTAGGCCGATCCATGGGTGACTAAAGGAACGGGTGTTCGCACGACACGCCAGCTTTAATGCCACCGGTCGGACTCAAAGCCACCGGCCGCTTCTAGTGAATGCCCAATCTGTAGAACCATCCAAAGTGAGAAAAAAGATTCCTTGATCCCAGGAACCGTGGCACTGCCGTGACTCAAAAGGTCACGACAAGGGCGTTAAGGTTTCACCTTGTAGGCTGCTGACGCTCCCACTCTATCAGTCAGACATACATAGCGTTTGCGCTTTTCACGAACTATGGACTCTCTCGTGCTTTCCTTCTCCTCGCAGTGCGGTGTGTCTCTATCATGGCACCGTCCACAAAGGAAATTCCAGTGTTATCTACGAGGCTTTTTGCTTTTTCTCCCCGCTCACGTTTCTCATCGCACTTCATCTTGTCTAGTTTTCGAACAAAATAACACACTAATTTGATCCCGACCCGTGCCTTTAAGTCACGAAATAGACACAGCGTCTTCACTAAAAGATCACTGTGCGCTATTCACATAAACGACCCTTTCACTCGGCCAAATATGTATAGTAGAATATAACTCTGAATACCCGTATTTCAGATCAACGTGCCATCATTGCTTGAAAACAATCATCGCTCTGACCTCGAGGTTTTTGTCGTGAATCGTGTCATCACTCCGCGACGTGAGTTTTCAGCCATCCTTCACAACTTCTATTTGCAGTTGACAGTCTGTAGAGGGCTGTGGGCGTCAAAGAAAGTCTTAAATAAGAATGAATTTAATTTTCAAGGTCTCACCGATATTCAAAACCTCGACGTTTCGGATGTGCATGTGAAAGATAATGGGACGATCAGCACAATATCAACGAGGGGAAAAGGGCAGAAGGTCAGTTGCTGTTAGCCAATATTTTACACTCCCCAGACTATCTGCTCACAACTTTCGTGGAAGAATAACTTTCAGCTTTCTCACTTTCAAGCAACGTTGAAAGAACGAAGAAAAATAGACAAGGATGAAGTTGAGCCTCCCAAGATTCTTTTCAATGTCGTCGAACCTCATCCTGTTCTTAGCATTCTCGCTGGGAAAACTCAGCGAAGTAGTTTCACGTTTCTTTTTAAATTCTGGTACGGTAGCAAATTTGTCTGTTTGCTTTCAGAGAATAAAAAAGGATCGTGGGCTTCAAAGTCTCGGCATGTTCACTACGACCCAGACATGTCTCATGAAGACTGTAGTGACGACGATGAAGACCGACCTGACGGGTTCCAAGAGGGCACAAAGGCTTCAAGGTAAACATACTGAGGCCTTTTTTCAAAACTGAGATCGTCTTGAAAGGCTATTATAGTGCCGAGATCCATTTCAGGTCGCTGTTCACGTTGGGAGACTTTTTGGTAGGCTCTTCGCCTCCAAAGAGCCCTACTCCAGAACTTGAAGAGGAGTCTGACAGTTGGGTCTTTGTAGATGAGGAGCCAGAATGTTCAACTGAGGTTAGCTTGAAGCGGTTGTAGGTTAGATTTCGTGTGTATGACAAACTCGTTCAGGGCGCTCATCCGAAGCCTGCTGATCTTGTCGACATCTCTGCAGCTACCAGTGCCAATTCAATATTTGAAGTCGTTGATATTGAAACGCAAAATCTGCAAAACTTCGACTTCCGTGAAGCGGTAACTCATACTTTCTTATCGATTCTTTTTATACTATGATTTAAAGGCAAATTCCGGGATTTCTGGCGAAATTTAGGTTTTCCCCGTCAAATATGGAGCAGTACGCAAGGGCAGACCATGTGCAGAAGTGGCGGGGCGTTTTTGATAAGGTTTAGGCGCTAGGGGCCTAGGTTGGAGCATTGGCGCCGCCCCAAGCCCATTGAGCCCGCCCACCTTCCTACGTGATTTCCATCATTTCATCTTGGAAAGCGCTAAGATGTGAAGCGTCTCGTTTATGGAAAAGTTCGTAGAGGAGTATTTATGCGGTATTTTATTTTTCTTATTATTTACGAACATCAAAGCCTATCTAACGACCATTTTGGAGAACGCTTGTCATCATTCTAGTGAGAAGAAAAAAGTTTAAGATAAAAAGCAAACAAAAAAACACAGGAAAATAGAAAAAATAGGGAAACTAGGAAAAATCACTTTTCATTGCTGACTTTTTGTGGTCGTGTCGGTTGATGGCACAAAGCCAACAGTTGCTGTAGACATGTCCAAACACGTAATTTTCCCAGCCCTGGTTCGTAAGCGACTAACGAAGAGGAATTTCTAATTTTGTAGTTCTTTGGAGGTATTTCCTGCTTTTTTCATTACCTTCGATCAACTTAGCACCAGCTCTTCATACTCGAACAGGTGAAGTCCTAGTTTATCCGGACAGAGTTTGCCTTTAAAAATCATATTCAATCTATACCCCAAAGACGAAGTTTTAGAGGGAAGATAGGCAATCCAGAAATCATAGGTAGAGGTGGTCCAAGTCGGTTGATAGCATGAAGAAAAAAAGCTCAGGTACGGCCCCAGAACCAGAGAAAATGAGAAACTATCATTTGCCTTGGATTTCCAATTGAGTAGCGTCTTCACGTTGCTGCACTCTTTAACGTAACGCTTTACTATGACTAGCGCCTAATGGCGCGCGACGGAGGCCACCTATTAGCAGTTGGGTTTATGCTCTCGGTGTGAACGTGCATCGTTCTGCCTTTTAGTGGTCCACATTCCTGTTCCACTTGGTATATTGCTCTTCTTAACTCCGACTCATCAGAGCTCTTTACAGAGAATAGAGTAATACAAGGAACGGAATCAGAAGGTGATACGTTTGAAGTGATTAGTAACCCATGAAATGATCCGGTTAAAGCGAGAGATTACGATAAAGTGCGTATGCAGCGTGGAAGTACATGCACCATTGGAAGCAGTAGTCAGGGGCCCAAGGAAACGAAATGTTGCGTTTTTGTGGTCAAAGGTGCGCTAGTTGCAGCGTACAAGGCTTGCCATTCCTTTCTGAGCCCCGCCACGGTCTGTGCTCCGCCCCCAGCAGCAGCGCCCTTCGATTGCCAATGTGACGAGATATTCCACTTCCAGAGTGTATCCTATAACTTTTCATGGGATGCGTGATCAATCAAAGCATGATGCTTGCTGAAATGATAGAGGCTATCAGCATAAACATGTGCAAACGACCTCCTAATTCGGTTGCTAGCTCGTCCATTATCGGAGGTCAACGGGCAAAGAAAGGGTCCCATTTTGCGCCTTCTTGACGGATTTCTTTGCTTTTTTCGCCACTGAGGCATTATTCATCTCCACTTCCACTATGAACCCCAGTCAGACTGCATCGTAATCTCACTCCGCTTTAAGGAATTGATGATATAGACTGAAACGCATTGTACCCCGCTCCTCCGGCAGACAGTCCTTGTCCACTGTCCTTAGCTTCTATCCTTTCTTTTAACCTGGTTTTTGAAGAACCTTTGGTCCCAATATACTCATCTTGTTGCGAGTTTAACTCACATGACGAGCATGAACCTGACAGGTCGTTATGGTATGAAAGGCGGCACTTTATTTGGGGGGCATTCTGTCAGCTTCATTCTTTATAGCGAATGCATGGTGCGAAACGGGTCAGGCAGCAAAGAAAATACATAGGCATAAAGAAATCCGTTGGAAACGCATGGGTGAGGGACTACATACCTCCGTAATTGGCTGTGCTGGGAATGAGAGACTAAGCGCGAAGAGGAGAGAATGAGGCAAGAGAGCACAGCAGATGAGAGGGTACCAGAGAGCAGCCTGATAAAAAGAGAAAAAATTGCAGCTGTTGACAATATTTTTGCAAGGTCCTAGTCTTGTTCGGGCATGATTTCTGCTGCACTGGGAGTGCTACACACTGTCATTTGTCTTCAAGGTGCGGTTCCTACAGATTGAAGCGAATTGCTAACCCGACCCCTGCCTGGGTTGTGCCTTCAACGCATTTAATGCGTCCACATTTGAGATCAATGCCGAATTGTTGGCATGTTCCTGAAGAGGAAGTAACCAATTTGGAATGTTTTAGCTTTCTAATATATTTACTATTTCAGATTTCTTTGCTTGAACATGAACGGGTTGCCATTAGATGGATCGACTCGGAACGGGTGATGGTTGACGCCACCTATCAGGCGCGGCTGAGTGGTGACGAACCTATTAGAAAACCGCTGCTTATTCTCTTCTTCGAACTTCACCAAGATTCTCATGTGCTCAGGTAGGGTCCTTAACTATCATTATAGTTAAGGCGTCGTAAAAAATGGGATTTTTGCGTATCTGCCACTTGGGACCATTGTTCTTCGAATATTTTTGAAAACTGCGTCATAATTCTGGGACTCATCTTCACCAAATATGTTAGATTTCAAAGCAGACTGTTGGGACTTAGCACGTCTCAAATCTTTGCCGATCGCTTCCAAAACAAACGCAAATCCTTCAGCTTGCTTTGGTAGCGAAAACGAGGCCAGGTAGGAATCCGGAGCAGAATAAAATCTTCATTTTTCCACCCCAGAATTTGTAAACGGGGTTGGATCCAGATTTCTTTGATCTCCCATTATGCTGAAGACCCTGATCAATTCATTTGACAGACAAATCTTTGACTGGCTTGACCTCAGAGTTTGTAGTGCTGTGGATGCATGCTTTTGTCAGACTGAGGGCGCCTTTATAAGAGCAACAGCTTCTCAAAAGGTAATGATTGAGATCTCACCAGCGAGTTTCTCGAGAAGAATAAACTGTTATTGATGCGAGGGATCATGAAAAGATCGGGTTGGGTTCATAGTGGAAGAGAGGATGCTGAATAATGCCCCAGTGGCGAAAAAAGTCCGTCAAGAACGCGCAAATGGGACCCCTTTCTTTGCCCGTTGACCTCCGATAATGGACGAGCTAGCAACCAATTAGGAGGTCGTTTGCACCGATAGCCGCTATCATTCCAGCAAAGATCATGCTTTGATTGATGACGCATTCCATGGGGAAGTTATAGGATACACACTCGAAGTGGAATACCTCATCCAAATGATAGGAGTAATGATGTTGCTAGCCACACTAATGGGCGGAGCACAGGCGGCGGAGGCGGAGCTCAGGGAGGATTGGCAGCCCTAGGGCGCTGAACTAGCCACGAACAGGGCACATCTCACTTCCTTAGTCCCCTGACTATTGCTTCCACTGGTGCATGTACCTCCATGCTTGCACACGCACTCTATTGTAATCTCTGCAAAGGCAAAGGTCGGGATTAGTTGACCAAACCAACCCTTTCGGTCATCTCTGTACTTGATTACGCACCAGTACAGATGTTCCCACACTCAAAATCTCGAAACGGCGCGGTAATAAGGCCCCAGGCATGTACTATGCGCTATCGCCGCCTGGCCCCCGCTACGACCGCCCACCTCGGGATGTGGTGCATGGCAAAGCTATAACATCGTGTAAAATCAGCTGGGTTGATTGCCGTATCAACCGATAGAACGACTGACATCTCCAGAAAAACTTGTTTGTACGTGCATCTTTCCCAAGCCAGCCTCCTTCACTGCTAGTGGGAAAGGGGGTTTTGTTAACGGCCTTGTCGACGTCAGCT